CTTGAGCCACAGCACCATTTCTGGCTTTTTCTGCTTATGTGGTGCTGAGGAATTGAACCCAGGGCCTCATGCATGCAAGACAAGCACTCTACCACTGAGCCACCTTCCCAGCTCTCCCAGTATTTGTTTATTTCATAATATTGTGAATCTTCTTTAAATTACCGAGCTTTGGATAAAATCTGGGTCAGCATTCACACATATGGAACTTTTTTTTTTTTTTTTTTGTCGGTCGTGGGGCTTGAACTCTGGGCCTGGGCGCTGTCCCTCAGCTCTTCAGCTCAAGGCGAGCGCTCTACCACTTGAGCTACAGCGCCACTTCCGGTTTTCTGGTGGTTTTATTGGAGATAGGAGTTTCACGGTCTCTCCTGCCCGGGCTGGCTTTGAACCGCGATCCTCAGATCTCAGCCTCCTGAGTAGCTAGGATTACAGGCGTGAGCCACCAGCGCCCGGCTGGAACTTTTTTTTTTAGCCAGTCCTGGGGCTTGAACTCAGCCTGGGCATTGTCTCTGAACTTCTTTTGCTCAAGGCTAGCACTTTTCCACTTGAGCCACAGTGCCACTTCCAGCTTTTTCTGTGTAGGTGGTAGTGAGGAATTGAACTCAGGACTTCATGCATGCTTGGCAAGCACTCTAGCACTGAGCCACGTTCCAGCCAGAACATTTTTTTTTTTTTTTTTTTTTTTTTTGGGTCCGGTCATGGGGCCTGACCTCTGGGCCTGGGCGCTGTCCCTCAGCTCTTCAGCTCAAGGCTAGCGCTCTGCCACTTGAGCCACAGCGCCACTTCCGGCTTTTTGCTTATGTGGTGCTGAGGAATCGAACCCAGGGCCTCTGGCATGTGCAAGGCATGCGCTCTACCACTGAGCCACCTTCCCAGCCCCAGAACATATTATTTTTAACATGCAATTTGATAGACAAGATCTTTCAAAACATTAGTCCATTGAGGAAAAAATTAATGAAAGACTTCCCTCCCAGAATATCTCTGAACATTTTGTACCAGTGAAAACTTCCCTGGAGGCACCTTCATAATTATAGGTAGAAGATCCCAGCAGTGATCCTAGCTTTAGTTGTAAGACTTCAAAAATGGCTGGCAGTTTCCTGTGCACAGACCCATCCCTTTCCAGTTTCAGGGCAGGTCTCAATCTGCCACCCTGCTCTCCCAGGCCTTATCTTTCCAGGGTATTTGACTCGACACGTTGTGCAACTATACAGAGTCCAGATGTGTGGGTGAGGCCAGAAATGAGCTGACTTAGCCGGGTACTGGTGGCTGGCACCTGTAATCCTGGTTACACAGGAGGCTGAAATCTGAGAATAGAAGTTCAAAGCCAGCTTGGGCAGGAAAGTCTGTGAGACTCTTATCTCCAGCAAACTACCAAAAAAGTCAGAAGTGGAGGTGGTAGAGTTCTAGCCCTAGCTAAAGAAGCTCAGAGACAGTACCCAGGTCCAGAGTTCAAGCCCCAGGACCAGAGAAAGAAAGAAAGAGAGAAAAAGAGAAAGAAAGAAAGAGGAAGGAATGAAGGGAAAGGAAGGAGAGAGGGAGGGAGGGAAAGAAGGAAGGAGAGAGAAAGAAAAAAGAGAATGGGAAGGAAGGAAGTCAGGCAGGCAGGCAAGGAGCTGAACTGCAGAGCCTCATTCCATGCCATCTGCCCCTTGGGGCTCTGTTCCCATTGGCTTAGTCTGGTTTATAACTAAGAGGGTAAGTCTCCCTTGACTAAGGCTGCATTATACACAGCTTTAAGTAGACCAATTTAGATTGTAAAACTTTGTTTCAGCCTCTGAATACTAATAATAAAAATGGTGGGAGATGGTTGTCTTCATTTGGCTCTGAAAATAATTATTAAGCACAGGTAACAACATGATATTATGCCAGGCGTTGTGCACACCACTTAGTGTCTGCATTGACTATCCTTCCTGGCTTGGGTTTTTCCCCAACTTCAGTGGCAGTTTAAATTCTGAGAATGCTGCCACAATGCGGGGTTCTTGCGCCCTCTTGTGGTAGGTAGGAAGAAAGCATGTCTACTATGGCTAGCTAGTTAAGGATAACTCTAAAGCCACTGAACCCTTTTTTTTTTTTTTGTCGGTTGTGGGGCTTGAACTCTGGGCCTGGGCGCTGTCCCTGCCCTCTTCAGCTCAAGGTGAGTGCTCTACCACTTGAGCTACAGCTCTATTTCCAGTTTTCTAGTTGTTTATTGAAGATAAGAGTCTCACGGACTTTCCTGCCTGGCTTTGAACCGTGATCCTCAGATCTCAGCCTCCTGAGTAGCTAGAATTACAGGCATGAGCCACCAGCACCTGGCTCACTGAGCCCTTTTTAGACAAACTGGGATTGGCTAGGTTTTGACCACCCTTGCTGAACAGTTTAGACACAAATCTAGGATAAAGGAGGAAGAGAATGAAAGAAGCTACATGATGGGAAAATAACAAACCTCACCCAATATACGTAAAATTACTCCTTTCCTCCCTACCCATTCTTCCATTTTGGCACTCAGTGATGTATTTTGATTCCATAGTTGGAATTCTTTTCTTTTTTTTTTTTTTGGGGGGGCGGTCAGGTCGTGGGGCCTGAACTCTGGGCCTGGGTGCTGTCCCTCAGCTCTTCAGCTCAAGGCTAGCACTCTACCACTTGAGCCACAGCACCACTTCCGGCTTTTTTCTTATGTGGTGCTGAGGAATGGAACCTAGGGCCTCATGCATGCAAGGCAAGCGCTCTACCACGGAGCCACCTTCCCAGCCCCATAGTTGGAATTCTTGACCTTAATATTTACTCAACAAACCTTTATTAAGGGCTTCTTTGTGCTAGACCCTGTATGAATGAACAGAAAAAGGGTAGCCTGTGCTGCCTGTCTTCAAAGAGCCCACAACCCAGCAAGGGAGAAAGCAGTGACAGGAAGAAAATGCTAGTTGCTGAAACTGATGATGATTTCCTTTTTGTTTTTTCCTCCTTTTTTTGTTTATTTTTTTGTTTTATTTGTGGGTTTTTAGTAATAATAGTTGGCCGAAGGCTGGGACAAAAGACACATGTTGCTTAGCTTTGTTACCATAACCAAATGCCCTAGGCCAGGATTTCACTGTCCCATCCTGAGGACCACCTCATGCACTCTCATATAAGCTGGGTCCCTCTCTAAGATGCTGATCATCCCCTAAAGACAGTGTGCTGGTGCTTAAGATTTCAACTTGTGAATTTAGGATAGGGGACACAATTTAGTCAATATCAAGTATAATTTCTGTAAGATCTTCAATATTTATAATGAAAAGCCCTGGTTTCCCTTTATGAATGTGTGTGAACTTTCTGATGAAGGAAAGTATGACCAGCTTTGATTTCAGTTCCCTTTCCCTACTTTCCCCGCAGTGAAACTGATGCCTCTGCAAGTCTTCCTTCTCCTAGGCAAGTCTCAGTCTAGGCCCTCATGGGAACCAGCGTCCCCTTCACCAGCAGAGCTGTAGAACGGCCTTCTTCCTACAGGCAGGGCTTACCTTTCATGCCCTCTTCCTGAGGTCTGAATACTAGGGACATCCTCTGAAACCTGCTCTGTCAGCTTTCTCTTCTTGGTTGAGTGAAGCTTGGAGTATTGTGGGGAGAGACCTAGTGCAGTGATAGATGCTTGCTGCTTTGAGCATGGCACATCTTACTGACATCATTGTGATGTTTCATTGATCACACATCTTAATGGGTCTGACTGCTCTTCTGCTGTCTGCCACCAGAATGTGTCATCAGTCTTTCAAGCTAATAATCACCTCCTGCAAAGGAGAGTCCTCATTCTTATTTTAGCTTCCCAGCTATTCAGTTCTTTCATTCACCTACAATAACAACAAGCATGTCGTTTCAGCTCCAGAGTTCCCTAGAGTGTATATGTGTGCATTTCATGTGGTTGTTTACAATGAGAATTATCATTCAATAAGAGAGCAGGAGGGTGGCGTAATAGCACGTGCCAGTTCCTCAGGAGGCTGGCAGGCGAATCACAAGTTTGAGTCAAGCCTTAGTAACTTAACAAGAATTGTGTGAAAATGAAATACAAGAGTTAAGGGTGTAGTGCACCTTAGGACTTACCTATAATGCATGGGGCCCTGGGTTTCATCTCTTGTACAGTGGGGAAGAAGAGGAAGAAAGGAAGAGAAAGCAAAAACAGTTTTTTCTCATATAATTGGCTGATATGTATGCGGCTTATATAGTTTTATAGTTGCTTATAGTGGATGCTGCTAGTCAGCTGGCGTATTCCCAGTGCCTATGAATCCCACCATGGGCTCTGGCCACCTGCCAGTTTTGTAAGTAAGATTTTACCGGAATAGCCACTCCCATTTTTTATATGTTGGCTAGTGCTGCTTTTGCACTACAGATGGTAGAGTTCAGTAGTTGTGGGAGCGTGTGTGTGTGTGTGTGTGTGTGTGTGTGTGTTAGTCCTAGGGCTTGAACTCCAGGCCTGAGCCCAGTCTCTAAGCTTCTTTTGCTCAAGGCTAGTGCTGTACCACTTGAGCCACAGCTATACCTCCAGCTTTTTGGTAGTTTCATTGGACAGAAGAGTCTCATGGGCTTTCCTACCCAGGCTAGCTTCAAACTGTAATCCTCATATCTCAGCCTCCTGAGTAGGATTACAGGCTTGAACTACCAGCACCCAGCGAGCATCTGGTTTATATAGCTCAGGCAGCCTGTATTTGGGGCTGGCACTTATCAGACTGCAGTATTTACTATATAGTGCTGAACATCAGGAGAAAAGCGAGAAAATAACTTTCCCTCCAGTCAACTAAACCGCTCATCCTCCTTTGGAAAGACTGGTGAATATTAGCACCAGAGAATGCAGCCCCACAGCCTGGGTGCCACCTTCCGCCAGGAGACAGGAATGCTGCCGAGCCCAAAGTGGCCCGGGCGTGGAGAGCTGCCATGGAGAGCTGCCGTCAGAGAACAGGCTCCTCAGACAGGGCGGCCCTCTGAGGCAGGACCATGCTCCCCTTCTTCTGAGTCCCCTCTGGAGCGCAGTACAGGTAACTCCTAGCTGTTTCTTCTCCTAGGGAGGCAAGTACATGCAGGCAGTGATTCAGTACGGGAAGATAGTATCCTGGCTGGAGATGGAGTACGGCTTATCTGAGAAGGAATCGAAAGCCTCTGAATCGTTCCTGCTCGCTGCCTTCCTGAACCTGGCCATGTGCTACCTGAAGCTCAGAGAATACGCCAAGGCTGTGGAGTGCTGTGACAAGGTGCGGGGACTGCACACTGTGCGCTTTGTGCTCTGTCCCACAGGGAGAACTTCCCACTTCCTCGCAACCAATGGTCTGTTTTGCTTGGCTCTGCTTCTTTATTTTTTGTTTGTTTGTTTTGGGGGGGGAGTCTGGTCGTGGGGCCTGAACTCTGGGCCTGGGCTAGCGCTCTACCACTTGCGCCACAGCACCACTTCTAGCTTTTTTCTTTTTGCTTATGTGGTGCTGAGGAATCAAACCCAGGGCCTCATGCATGCAAGGCAAGCGCTCTACCACTGAGCCACCTTCCAAGCCCTGGCTCTGCTTCTTTGTATGGGTGAGGTTATGTGTTTCTCAAGACAAGTTGGGAAGTTAAGAACAGTTTGGTTTACCACCAGATTTTTCTGATGTCTGGATTTTTTATTTTTTTGGCCAGTGCTGGAGCTTGAACTCTGGGCCTGAGCGTTGTCCCTTAGCTCTTCAGCCCAAGGCTAGTGCTCTACCATTTGAGCTACAGCGCCTCTTCCAGTTTTCTAGTGGTTTACTGGAGATAAGAGTCTCACAGATGTTCTTGCCCGGGCTGGCTTTGAACCGCTATCCTCAGATCTCAGCCTCCTGAGTAGCTAGGATTACAGGCGTGAGCCACCGATGCCCGGTTTGATGCCTGGATTATTGATAAAATATACCATGAATACAAGTTTGGGTAAAGTTTGCTATCAGAATGGACAAAATTCCTCTTGTTTATCTTTTTGCCAGTCCTACGGCTTGGACTTGATACCTGGGTACTATCCCTGAGCTCTTTTTGCTCAAAGCTAACCTCTTTGAGCCACAGCTAGAATTCTAGCTTTTTGTGGGTAGTTCACTGATAAGAGTCTCATGGACTCTTCTGCCCAGGCTGGCTTTGAATGTGGTGTTATATAAAGATCATATACAGGGGCTGGGAAGGTGGCCCAGTGGTAGAGTTCTTGCCTCACATGCATGAGGCCCTCTCTTCAATTCCTCAGCACCACGTAAACAGAAAAAGCTGGAAGTGGTGCTGTGGCTCAAGTGGTAGAGTGCTAGCCTTGACCTGAAGAGCTTGAGGGACAGCGTCTAGGCCCACAGTTCAAGCCCCATGGCCGACCAAAAAAAAAAAAAAAGATCATATACAGGGACTTTTTATTATAACCATACTGAATACACACGGATAACTTAGGCCCAGAGAACATTAGCAGCCCTCTCCATTTTTACAGTGATTTTTTTTTTTTTTTTTTTTTTTTTGGGTCCGGTCATGGGGCCTGAACTCTGGGTCTGGGCACTGTCCCTCAGCTCCTCAGCTCAAGGCTAGCACTCTACCACTTGAACTACAGCGCCACTTCCAGCTTTTTTCTTTTTGCTTATGTGGTGCTGAGGAATCAAACCCAGGGCCTCAGGCATGCAAGGCAAGCACTCTACCACTGAGCCACCTTCCCAGCCCCTACATTGATGTAATTATCTCCAGGCTTTGAGTAGTTACATGAGGTTGCTTATGATGATGGGTGGAGAGAGGTATTCTTGGCTCTCAGTACTCAAGGTTTCAGTCTGGTCAGGTGGCTCCGTTGCTGTGTGCTTTCATAGGAGGCCACAGCAGAGGAAAGTCACTCACCTTATAGTGGCCAGGAAGCAGGGGTGGAAAGGGAGGATCCAAGGACAAGATAATCCATTCGAAGGCACATCTCCAGTCACCCACCTCCTCCAGCCAGGCCTCCCTTCCAAAGATGAGCTCAGTGGGAACTCATCAGTGGGTCGACTCATTAATGAAGTTGGGGGCTCCACTCTATCATGCACCACCCACTGGGACCAGGCCTTCGGTGTAACAGGCTATAGGGTAACACTTCATATCTAAATCGTCAAAGACCATTCTAGAAAGCATACTGAATACAGGAACATACTCCCCTCTCCCCTCCACCCCCATTTCAGTACTAGGGTATGAACTCAGCAGGCCTTCTTCCTCAGAGCTGTGACTCTGGCCTTTTATTCTAGCGCTTATTTTTAAGATAGTGTCTCACTTCCTACTAAATGCATGCTTGGACCTTGATCTTCCTATTTTCCATTTCCTACCATATGAGAGATGACAGGAATTTGCCACCATGCCCAGCTTCTTCCACTGAAATGGATACTTAGGTGTTTTCTTCCTAGGATGGCCTGGATCCATGATCCTTCCATTCTCAGCCTTCTGTGTAGCTAGTTCCTTGAGAAGGAAGTCTTGAATCTATACCCAGTCTGTCCTCAAAGTGAAATCCTGATCTCAGCCACTCAAGTAGCTAGGATTATAGGTGTGAACCACCAATACCCAGCTCAGAAGCTAATTTGAGTACTGTATCTTGATCAGTAGTGTATAATAATTGCCTTGAACCTCATTTCAGTGTGCTTTGGAACCATTACTTCCCAAGTTTCTTACCCAAGTCCTAAGAAAAGTTCCATTCATCCTTTCTAAATATAAATACTCTGTCCCCAGGCCCTCGGACTAGACAGTGCCAATGAGAAAGGCTTATACAGAAGGGGTGAAGCCCAGCTGCTCATGAACGAATTTGAATCAGCCAAGGGTGACTTTGAGAAAGTGCTGGAAGTAAATCCTCAGAACAAGGCCGCGAGACTGCAGATCTCCATGTGCCAGAAGAAGGCAAAGGAGCACAATGAGCGGGACCGCAGGATATACGCCAACATGTTTAAGAAGTTTGCGGAGCAGGATGCAAAGGTGTGTGCACAACCCACCTGGCATCACACAGGTGGACAGCTAAGTTGGCCCCTTTGGCTTTGGTTCTCAGCAGATTGAGTGGAGTAGATGGGTTCAGGTGGACCGTCTAGGAGACACAGAAATAGGAAAATGGTTTCCACTCTGATCTCAGGCTGGCTTGTATCTGGAGAGGCAGGCCACAGGCTTGGATCCAGGCTTTGAGCAAAATCTGGAAGGTCTGTCTGGAGCCAGCCTCCCCTGTGCCCTCCACTGCCACCCCCACGGGCACAAAACTTACTCAGCAACTGCCTCATCATTTTAAGACAAGAAAAGGAAAGCTCCCCCTGTAACTGCCCTGATCTGCCCACCTGTGCAGCCTGCGGGCAGCCATCGTAATCCACTCACCATGCATTGGCCCCAATAAAGCTGTCTAGAGAAGCTAGGAGTTTGTTTTAGTTATTTCCCGTAACCCTCTTGATGTCTTCTTTCTTGCACAGGAAGAGGCCAGTAAAGCAGTAAGCAAGACTTTGGCGGGGGTTCCCAATGAGAAACGAACAGAAAGCCAAGTGATGGATGAAGAGAAAGCCGAAGGCCATGTATGACACCACGGCCCGGAGGGAGGAGAGTCCTGGCGCTCGCCCTCCTCGCTGGGCTGTCACCCCTCAGGACTGAACAGTCTTAGTGTAAAGTTTGTTATAGTCTATGTGATTCTGGAAGCAAATGGCAAAACCAGTAGCTTCCCCAAAACCACCACCCTGCTGCTGCCCAGTGGGTTCATGGAGAGGGTGGCAAGGGACCACTCCACGTGGAACAGAACAGAAAGAGCTGTTGGTGCAAAGAGTGTGAGCCAACAGTGTGCATCGGCTCATTTCACTAGCCAAGCAGTATCCTCTGGGATGAGTCTAGCAATCTGGGGCTGTTAGATTTTACATTCAAACTTTAATAGCACTGCAGAAACCTACAAAGAATAATAATAAACAAAAACCCTTAGTGAATCTCTCCTTTCCTACAAGGTGGGGTGGGGATGCTGTGAGGGTCCGGGCAGGACCCGGAATAGATGGAGGTTGGGAAGCCCTGGAAAGCTGGAAGTTCCTAGAACCCCTGAGGCTGCCTGTCTGCTGACTTTGCTGCTTCCCAGCCAGCCAGTTTGGGAGGGTGACTTTCTGTCACACGCAACCATTCCCTGGCATCACTCTGTCCTTCCTAAAACACTTCAACAGTGTGAAGGGGTTGGCTTTCCCGTAGATGGAGTTTTGAGGTGCTGAAACATGGAGAGTAACTAGAATTACACTTCCTCCTCCCCATTGCTTTTCGGAAATAACAATAGTACGCAGCACTTTGGCTGTCATTGATACCCTTGGCCTTCTTTCCATTCTAAGCCTGCTGTTAAGAGTTAAGAATGGGGGCTGGGAAGGTGGCTCAGTGGTAGAGCACTTGCCTTGCATGCTCGAGGCCCTGGGTTCCATTCCTCAGCACCACATAAGAAAAAAGCCGGAAGTGGCGCTGTGGCTCAAGTGGTAGAGTGCTAGTCTTGAGCTGAAGAGCTGAGGGACAGCACCCAGGCCCAGAGTTCAGACCCCACGACTGGACCCAAGAAGAATTAAGAATGGCCAGGTGCTGGTGCCTCACGCCTGTAATCCTAGCTAGTCAGGAGGCTGAGATATGAGGATTGGGGTTCAAAGCCAACCTGGGCAGGAAACTCCATGAGACTTATCTCCGATTAACTACCAGAAAACTGGAAGTAGCACTATGGTTCAAGTGGTAGAGTGCTCGCCTTGAGCCGAAGAGCTCAGGGACAGTGCCCAGGCCCAGAGTTCAAGCCCCACGACCAACCAAAAAAAAAAGTTAAGAATGTTCTCAAAGTTTCTCAGACCTGGAGTGCACTTACTTCCATATCCATATAGGATGGATGCAGCTTTTTCTTTGGCTTATTTTCTTTTCTCAGTGGCTTATTTATGTACATTGGTTTATGGAACTTTACACTCCTTGATCTTGCAGGGGGAGGGGTTGTTTGTTTTGGGGTCTCCCCCCCCACTTTTTTACTATTTAGTAGCTTTTAAAAACCAAACTCTGTGGTATTGACGTGTAAAGAGTCACCCTGGCATTGACAGCTTCGCCGGCAGGCTTGATGGTTGATGCTTCCTCCTCCAGCACTGGTGGCCCCTTGGTGCTGTTGAGCCGGATGAATGGAAGGCAGCTCCCACTCAGGTTCCTCCTGCCCGAATTGGGATAAGTCCTAAGTGTGTGCGTGGAGTTGACTTCACTCCTTCTGGGCAGTGAAATCAAGCGTGGTGTTTTCTCCACACACAGCCAAAGCCTAGAGTTCGCTCGCCCTCATCAGTCCTGAAGAACACAGGCAGTCCTGGTTCCAGTGAATTCCCGTCTGCATGGCCGTTTGAACCAAATCCCCTCATTGTTACCTGAGGCCCTTGGATCTAAAAGTCCTCTCCCTCCATGTCAGTTTGCCGCTCTTGGAGCAAATGGAATGAAATTGTGAAGTTTTTCTTTTTAACTAAAGCCCCATTACTTATTTCTTTTTAGTCGTTTTTTGTGCAGTTTTGTCCATCCCAAACCCCAGTGTCACCTAAGAAATAGGAAGAGCCAGAGCTGGTTGTGATGTTGGCTTCCCTGTCCAGTGCCTGCAGCTCTGTCGGCTGGCGCGTGGTCTTCATAAAGCAGTGAGTGAGAGCTGAGCCTCTCGAGCCAGCTAGCGTTCCAGGTCAGGGGCAAGAAAACTGTTCCAAGACTCAAATGACCCAGCCATCTCCCCATGCATCCCCCGGGCTACTCACCCAGCCAGGTGTGCTAGTGGCTCCAGACAGATGATAACAAAGTGTCTGACCACTCAAGAAAAGACTCGTCACATGTTCTTGTTTGGGAGTCGGTCCTCTCAGTGCTTGTAGAAATCAGAAGACGTCTTCGAGCCGCTTCATCGACTGCAGGCCGGAGAGAGTTGGCAGATGCTGAATTTTAAAGGGGTTTTTTTAAAAAAAAAATCAAATGCACTTTTTGTGTTCCTTAAATAAATTTTTTTAAAAAGCGATTATCTCCTGGTTCTTATTTCTTCTGCTCAACTAACTAGTCTTCAGGGGAAGCTATTTGGGTTGGAAAGCTATGTTAAAGACCAACTCAGACAGCGGCCTGAACATGATAAACTGATCCCGTCATCCCCACCGAGGGAGCCAGGACCTTGTTCATGTGCTGCATAGTCGATACTGAATAAACAACATCCTCTTTCCAAGGTAGCCTCCTTGTGCAGTGGCCCTCTGATCCTGGCGCTTTCTTTGACCTGGGGAGGCAGACCACAGTTTTCTAGCTATCCTTGCAGCCTGACTTAGTTTCTCTGTGTTCTTTCCAAGTGAGCCACCAGCAACTTGACTGGGTAATCCAACTGCAGGATGGCTCAGATGCCGGCGGCTCACGCCTGTAATCCTGGCTACTCACCAGGGTGAGATCTGAGGAGTACAGTTTGAAGCCACCTTGGGCAGGAAAGATTCGTCTCCAATTAACTACCAAAAGGTGAAGCTGCCAGAAGTGGAGCTGTGGCACAAGTGGTAGAGTATCAACCTTGCGAGGAAAAGCCAAGTGAGAGTAAACCCCAGTCCCAGCACGTAAAAACAAAAAGCTTTTTTCTCCCCTTGGGCCTTGGACTCAGAGCTTGGGAGGTTGTCCCTGAGCATCTTTGTACTCAGGGCTAGTGGCTTTACCACTTGAGCCACAGGTTTTGAGTAGTTTATTGGAGATGAGTCTCACAGACTCCTGCCTGGGCTGGCTTCAAACCATGATCCTCAGATCTCAGCCTCCTAAGCTGACAGGCATGAGCCACTGGCACCTGGCAGGAAAAGCTTTGTTGTTGTTGTTTTTTTCTTTTTTTTGTTTTGGGTTTTTGATTGTTTGGTTGCTTTGGTTGTGGGGCTTGAACTCTGGGCCTGGGCGCTGTCCCTCAGCTCTTCAGCTCAAGGTTAGCGCTCTACCACTTGAGCCACAGCACCACTTCTGGTTTCCTGGTGGTTTATTGGAGATGAGTTTCACAGACTTTCCTGCCCATGCTGGCGTTGAACCATAATCCTCATATCTCTGCCTTGTGAGTAGCTAGGATTACAGGCGATGCCCAGCTAGGAAAGATTTTTTTTTTTTTTTTTTGGTCAGTCATGGGGTCTGAACTCAGGGCCTAGGTGCTGTCCCTCAGCTCTTCAGCTCAAGGCTAGCGCTCTACCACTGGAGCCACAGCGCCACTTCTGGCTTTTTCTGCTTACGTGGTGCTGAGGAATTGAACCCAGGGCCTCATGCATGCGAGGCAAGCACTCTACCACTGAGCCACCTTCCCAGCCTGGAAAAGTTGTTTTTTTTTTTTGACACAAAATCGTTCCCACTTCTCTGCGTGTCTTGTTCTTCTTGGTTTTTGTCTCATTTTTTTTTTTTCAAACCAGATACCCTCTTGGGAGGCATATTAAGGGATTTAGGCCTTCCGTGATGCAGTGAATCATCCCTCCCAGTAAACTGCATCAAGCCAGCAATTACGCAGTGTCTCTGTCAGCTGAGGGCCTGCCAGCTTCCAGCTGAGGCAGATGGAGACTGCACACAGTTGTTGAGAAACATCAAGAAGTGAACTGGGTGCTAGCTAATAAATGACTGATGCTGTCTGGGGCCTCCAAGCTTCAATGATTTGTCATGCAGCAAGAGATAAATGGAATAATACATCTGCAAATGTTAGTTTCTTTGGTGATAAGAGTCTCGTGGACTTTCCTACCTGGACTGGCTTCGAACTGCAATCCTCAGATCTCAGCTTTCTGAGTAGCTAGGATTAGAGGTGTGAGCCATCAGCACCCACTGGTGCCCGGCTTGGTATTGAATTCTTAACTTGAACTTTCATTAAGCGTTCTTGGTCATGACTGGCACTCTACCACTTAAGTCATGCTTCTAGTCTAGCAATGTGCTGGTTAGTTGAAGATGGGAGTCTCATAGACACAGGCTGTCTTTGATCCTTAATCCTCCAGGTCTCAGCCTCCTGAGTATCTAGAATTACCGGCAGGAGCCACCAGCACTAAGATCTTGTTTAATACAAGCATTCTCAGATCCAATTTCCCTATCATTATTGCAGTGCCCCATATACTATTTGTTGGGATTTTGCTTTCATTCTCTTTTTTGTCAGTCATGGGGCTTAATTGGAGATAATTGGGGGTTAATTGGAGATAAGTCTCTTGGGCCGGGTGCTAGGTGCTGGTAGCTCATGCCTGTAATCCTAGATACTCAGGAGGCTGAGATCTAAGGATCTTGGTTCAAAGCCAGCCTAGGCAGGAAAGTCTGTGAGACTCATCTCCGATTAACCACCAGAAAACCAGAAGTGGTGCTGTGGCTCAAGTGGTAGAGCGCTTGCCTTGAGCTGAAGAGCTGAGGGACAGTGCCCAGGCCCAGAGTTCAAGCCCCACAACTTGGAAAAGGAAAAATAAAGTCTCATGGACTTTCCTGCCCAGGCTGGCTTTGAACTACAATCCTCAGAGCTCAGCCTCCTGAGTACCTAGATTACAAGCATGAGCCCCCGGTGCCCTGTCCATTCTTCTCAAAATATTTTTTTTTAAGTTCCTCTGTGATTTCTTCTTTGGCCCATGAGTGAAGTGATTTAGGAGTATGTTTCATTTTTGCATATTTATGTATTTTCCAAATTTCCTTCGGTTATTTATTTCTGATTTCATTCCATTGTGGTTGGGAAACATACTTTCTGATTTCAACCCTTTTAAATTTATTGAGACTTTTATTACCAAAATATGGTCTGCCCTGGAGAATCATCTGTGTGGTCATGAGAAGATGCCTATGCACTGCTGTTGGGTGGAGTGGTTGATAAACTTCTATGAGGTTTAATAGAGTCAGAGTGCTGCTTAAGGCGTGTAGCTCTTTGCCAATTTTCCAATCTTTTTTTTTTTTTTTGTCGGTTATGGGGCTTGAACTCTGGGCTTGGGCGCTGTCCCTGTGCTGTTCAGCTCAAGGTGAGC